ATTTTCATACAAGTCGCAAAGGGTGAGCATGTTAGCCAAGGTGGAGGCTAACATTTCCTTGCAAGAGATATTATTCAGTTGTTTTGTCGTGAGCCTCCACAACGGTTTTCCTCTAGGATAAACTTGTCCCGTGCTGAAATTGCAGCTCAACATAAGATGGTCTGACCAAGGTGTCACGATCAATCTGCAGCAGTCTGTCTTGAGCTCTTTTGAGGCTCGTATTCTATCCAGCCTGCTGGCTCCCCTTATGTGGTAAAAGGTGTATCTGGCACCATCCATGGGAGAATACCTGTAAGTGAAGGCACGCCTACAAGTAACCGGAAAGAAATTCAAAACGTTGATGGCTTCTGTCACTTTATCAGATAATTTGTTCTCGATGAAGAAGCGCTCCAGCTCTCTCTCCTCCACTGTTAAAGGTTGTGCCGCAGATCGTGCCGTCGTTTGATCTTCATCGACATAGGTTACCCTGTCCGACACGACAACTCTGTTGTTAAAGTCTCCAGCTACGATGACGTGCCTGCGAGTATTGCAATAGGCTTTCAAGTGCTCCCACAAGTCTCTCCGTTTATTGGCTTTGATCGGAGCATACAGTCCACACAACCGGAAAAGGAGTTTGTTTTTGCCACCATTCTCTTTCAAAGCATGAATCGTAAAGTGCACTATGACCAGCCTCCCAGGGATCGCTTCTAGCACGAAGTCCACCATTAAACTTTTGGTAGCTCTTAATAATATCCCGACGCCGGCTTGATATTCTTCACCGTATGACCATATGGAAGGGCCTTGTGTCCATAACCTTTGTGCTGAGCTGCGATCTTTTTCAGTGCACAAATGGGTCTCCTGTAGAACGTATATATCCAGATCCAATCCTTTCAGGCTAGTCAGTATTTCTTCGCGGCGTGCGACATGCCTCATGCCATTCACGTTCCAAGTTAAAATTTATAAAGTGCCCATAGTAAATTTTGAAAAATTGAAAACTTGAAATATTGAAAAACAAAATTAAGGAAAAACAAATGGTCTATTTATGTATGTATTTTTCCTCAAGCTTTTTATCATGGATAGGCCATGCATAAACCACCTTGAATAAATTTAACAATTTGAGCAAAAGGCATAATCTGTATACATCATTTGCTATTTCTGTCATCATGGCACAGTTTCATCACTCTCTCTCTCTGGACTGTCCAGTACAATGTACAGTTCTTTTTCTGCCCCCTCTAATGTACCCCGAGGTGTAGACTCTTCAGATTGTGATTCTGAAGGGGGAGGGGGAGGGCGAAGTAATTCAAGATCTGGCACAGGGGTGATCTGAAATTCAGGTGTGGGAACAGAAGATGGTGAAAGGAGAGGGGGGTTTGTTCCCGCAACAGGAAGCAATGCGTGCGTCAAAGAGCCCTGAAGGCTTGTTAAGCATGACCTCTTAACTTGTGTTGGTTCGCTCAGGTCATCTAGTGATGCCACTTGTCTAGCTTCCCCATTTTCTCTCAGACATTCCTCGCTGTCATCTACTGACCCCTTCTGCTGCATTTCCACCTCTTGCTACCCTAATATAGGCTGAAGTTTCCATTGAAAAGAGGGTAATATTGAAAAAACATTCCTTCATTAGCATTTTCTGCACTACCCATCATTTCTGCCCATTCTAAACTCATTCCAACAATTAATATCATCCCAGGACACCTTGATTTTCCAACACTAAACCTACCCTGGTGCATACCCCAAATCCAAATATGGGGCTTCAGTTCCACTGAAGAGAGGGCAATTTTGAAAGAGACATATTTCAGTGGCTTTTTCTGCACTGCTTATGATTTCTGCCCATTCTAAACACATTCGAACCATCAAACTCATGCCTGGACACCTTGTTTTTCCAACCCTAACCCTACCCTGGTGTACCCCACCCCCCACCATAATATAGGCCTACGTTTCCATTGAAAAGGGGGTAATAGTGAAAAAACTTACTTCAGTAGCTTTTTCTGCACTACTCATCATTTCTTCCCATTCTAAACACATTCCAACAATCAAAATCATGCCAGGACACCTCGTTTTTCTATCCCGAACCCTACCCTGGTGCAAACACCTTACCCTAATATAGGTCTAAGTTTCCATTGAAAAGAGAGTAATATTGAAAAGCCTTCCTTCTATACCGTTTTCTGCACTCCTCATCATTTCTGCCCATTCTGAACACATTCCAACCATCAAAATCAAGCCAGGACACCTCATTTTTCTAACCCTAACCCTACCCTCGTGGACATCCCTAACCCTAATAGAGGGCTAATTTTCCATGTAAAAGTGTGTGATTCTGAAAATGCCTTCCTTCAGTAGCTTTTTCTGTGCTGCTCATCATTTCTTCCCATTCTGAACACATTCCAACCATCAAACCCGTGCCAGGACACCTCTTTTTTCCAACCGTAACACTACCCCTAACCCTAATATTGGTTTAAGTTCCACTGAACAGGTGGCAATTTTGAAAATGCCTTCTTTCGGTAGCTTTTTCTGCACGGCTAATCATTTCTGCACACTATAAACATATTCCATGCATTAAACTCATGCCAGGACACCTCGTTTTTCTACCCGTAACCCTACCCTGGTGCACACCCCTTCCCCTAACATAGGGCTATGGTTCCAATGAAACGGGATAATTTTGAGAAAGCCTTCTTTCAGTACCTTTCATGCACTGCTCATCATTTCTGCCCATTCTAAACACATTCCAAGCATAGAGATCATGCCAGAACACCTCATTTTTCCTACCCTAACCCTACCCTGGTGCACACCCCTAACCCTAACAGGGGGCTTAAGTTCCACATAAGAGTTGGCAATTTTGAGAAAGCCTTCTTTCTGTAGCTTTTTCTACACTGCCCATCATTTCTGCTCACTATAAACATATTCCACCCCTCAAAATCATGCCTGGACACCTCGTTTTTCTAACCCTAACCCTACCCTGGCGTTCACCCATAACCAGAATATATTGCTAACTTTCATTTGAAGGTAATGCGATTTTGAAAAGCCTTCGTTGAGTAGCTTTTTCTGCACAGCTCCTCATTTCTTCCCATTCTGAACATATTCCAACTATCAAAACCATGCCAGGGCACGTCGTTTTTGAACCCTAACCCTACCCTGGTTCACACCCCTAATCCTATTTTTTAAAATGTTGCGATTTTGAAAAACCCCTCATGGAGTAGCTTTTTCTGTACAGCTCCTCATTTGTGCCCATTCTAAACACATTTCAACCATTAAAATCTCATCCGGACACCTGGTTTCCCTAACTCTACCCTTGTTCACACCCCTAACCCTAATATAAGGCTACAGTTCCATTTACAGTAGGGATATTGTGAAAAAGCCTTCCTGGAGTAACTTTTTCTGCACATCTCATCATTTCTGCCCATTCTAAACACATTCCAAGCATTAAAATCATACCCGGAGACCTTATTTTCCCACCCTAACCCTACCCTGCTTCATACTCTTAACCCTAATATAGTGCTAAACTTCCATTGAAAAGAGGGTGATTTTTAAAAAGCCTTCCTGGAGTAGCTTTTTCTGCATAACTCATCATTTCTGCCCGTTCTAAACACATTCCAACCATTAAAATCTTATCCGGATACCTGTTTTTCCGAGCCCTAACCCTAACCTGGTGCACACCCTTAACCCTAAGGTATCCCTAAAGTTCCACTGAAGGAAGGGCAATTCTGAAAAAGCCTTCCTGGAGTAACTTTTTCTGCACAGCTCTGCATTTCTGCCCATTCAGAACACATTCCAACCATTAAAATCTTACCCGGAGTCCTCTTTTTCCCAACCCTAACCCTACCCTTGTGCTCACTATTTCCAACTGCTTGTTATTTGCTTTTAATATGAGCAAAGAGTTTATATTCAAATTTGTTCATATTTTTGAAATTTTAAAAGCCTTTTAAAACTTCCAGCCTTTTGTTTATGTACTTAAATTGCCAACTACACTGTTTCAGCCTGTCATGTGTGCCTCGGGTGATGTGTGGTTTCAAAAAGGGGGTCCATAAGGAAAATCCTGTTGAAAGATCTAGACTTGAGTGTCCCGATTTAGTAGGATAAGACTCCTGTAGTTTTAATAGCTACAGCAAAGCACAGTGGCAGAAGAAACTGCAGCAGCAGATCTCTCGCTTTGGGACACCTTTTAAAGGGCAGAGCTGCAGGCAAAGTTCTCCAGATTCAGCAATGAAGCCATGAAATGCTTATAATGCTCACCTAAAAAGAAGAGGTGGACTTTGTAAGTGTTGACATTCTTCCCTAACTTGGATTAACATCTGATCTGAAGGAGAATTCCTGGTTCCTCTCAATTCTTAAATTATCCTCTGTTTCAGTGTAACATACTGATCAAGCCAGAAGTAGTAGTCCAGTCATACTAGGAGCTGCTGCTGTTGTATTAGCCCTGGAAAAAACTGCATTCCTCCAGATTACCAAAGTTTTCTCCACTGGCGAGCATGTTAAGGCGTCTGCTCAGGAGAACAGATCTCACTCTTCTTGATTCTGATTCTGGAACACCCCTACCTTGGAAAAATAAGTGCCCCATCATCCTGCAGTCCAGATAAATTAAAAAGCAACCAGAGACATTTTTAAGAATCACGGAGGGAGGAGAGGAGGGGTTGGGTGATTTATGAACCTCGAATTGGCTCAGAAAATAAACAGAACTGTTTCTAACAACAGGGTTGGAGAGGAGGAAGATGGATAATGAAAACTGAGCTTATTTACAGCCCAGTTCATTTTCTAAGCTGCACACCGTGTTTGTTCTGCACTGACTCTAGCAGCTTGTCCATCCTAGGCTGCATACTTTGGGAACACTAGAGCCTGGCTGTTCTGTCAAAATACACAGACCAGCCTTTGCTTCTCACATGGTCTCAGTCCAAGCCTCAACTAGCAAGGTGTGAATGCCATGTCCTCAGACTGACTTGGTGAGGTGATCTGAGCAATGATTAACTATGATTATGGGAACAGGACTGATGGACTTCACACTGAAAGGGCCTTTTCTTCCCCAATCCATGCAGGCTGGTGCACTCCGGCCCCTCCAAGGGCTCCCTTCTGTATGATTCAGAGCTCTCCTTTGCTTTGCGGACTGGAACCAAGAAGGGTGTGGAGACCCACCTGTTCAGCGTGGAGACGCACCGGGACCTGGCCACGTGGACGAGGATGCTGGTGGATGGTTGCCACAATGCAGCCGAGTGTGTCCAGGAGGTGTCAACAGGTCAGGAAGCAGAGGGGGGATTTGAATTTGGGACTGGCTGCTGAGGCTTTCACTGGGGTTGGAGTGACTGCATGGCCCATGTACTCAGGAGAGTTTCTCCTTTGGCATTTTGGCATTGTAACTTGGGCATAGCAAAAGGGATTCTTTGGTCACCCACTGCACCTTATTTCAGCACCTACTCAACCCCCAACCCCACCCCACACGTTCATGCATGGTGGGTAAATTGCAATAAAATAAGGATCAATTGCCACCAGTACTAATCCCACCATAAATTATTATGTTACATCTGTGCTTCGCCCTTCTTCCTCGTGTGGCTTACAAGGGTCTAGCCACACCTGCTGGATTATTTATTACCTTTGAGTAACAGGTAATAGTAGTTTCCATTAATTATCTATGCCTAGATTAGAAAGTTTTCCTGGCTTTCCCAGCTCTGTAGATACCTCTCTCAAATGACCATAACCAGTGGCCCTGCAGTGAACTTTTGTGACTGAGTCGTGACCCGTCCTCTTGAAAGCAGCGCTTGGTGCCAAGCAATCTGCAAATGACCTTTTGCCCCTTGTTCCTCTCCCCCCCTCCTGCAGCATGCACATGGAACGGGCGGGACTGCACCTTGTCCATCCACATTGAGAAGGGCTTCACCATCTCCACCCTGGAGCCAGGCCACACCAAAGTCATCCTGCTGCAGCAGCCTTTTGAGAGGCTGCAGATGTCCTCGGACGACGGGGCCAAGATGCTTTACTTGGACTTTGGCAGCTCAGAAGGAGAGATTGTGGGTCCCCTTTCCTGTTTAACTTCTGTTTTATGCTCTTCCAGTAGGTTCCCAGGGGAGTGCTGAAGGATGGAATCTGTGTACTGAAGGCTTGGGGTAGTTCAGAGGTCATGAAGACGGAAAGCGATTGCAAGTGATAGGAAGCTCCACTTATTACTAACTGTCATTACTGGCAGAGGACAAAGTCATTCAGGGTGGAGGGGGAGGCATGCAACTTGGGGAATGAGTGTATGGAATGCAGGAAAGAAAGTAGCAGGACGTGAAGCCCCCAAACTTTAAATCAAGACCCCTGAATCTCTTTCTACCTAAGGACAAATTCCATTGCAGAGGAATTTTCAGGGAACTACATTGCAGTGCAGGGGCATAGCAAAAGAGGCATAGCCAAAATTCCCAAAACTGCCAGCATTCAGTTTGAATCGATACAGCATTCAGTATCAATTGAGTGATTTTCTGTACTGCCCAACACCCAATGGGCTTGAAGCTCTTACTGCCTGCACGAAACCTTAGGAGAGGCATCAGGCACTTTGACCTTTCTGAATAGGAAACAACCTGCAGAAAAGCTGGAAAACCAGCAAATGATTGGTGGCTGTGGAAAATGTGATGAGGCAGGGAAAGGGATATGCTGGGAACACCAGATGGCCAGACTGGAGCCCCAGGTGGGTAGAATTTGACCCCCAGGCACAAGGGTCTGCACTCCAGTTTGAAACTGGGGTGATACGATGAAGCAGCCCAGATCAGAGGAAAAGGGTGTGTTTAATCCTTCAACTTCACAGCAGAAGTGCAAACATTTTTCTCCCAGAGTGACACATTGATACTATCTCTGGGGCCAGCAGATGCATCCCTGTGCACATGCGCATGCACACCCACACACACCACTGACCCTGACACAGACTCCTCTTTCCTTGCTGCCAGCAGTGAGAGTAGAGTACAAGAGCAGGGAGATCAGCAGTGGGGGAGCAGGGCACCTGTGGAGAGCCATAAGTCGAGCATTTCTTCTTTACTGGATGAGGTCTTAGAGTTGCAGCTGTTAGCCTAGCCCTGGAGGACCCTTGAGCCAGTGCACCCAGCTGGAAGCAAGGGCACTTTGCCTGGGGACGTGGGTGACACTTGCTAACCTCCTGTGCTGAGCTACAGCCTTGTCACCTCTGTGGCTGCAACACTGACAGACAGCCACAAAAGGAGTGGAGGAAAGGTGCACTGCAAATAGGGGGATTTGCTCTCCACAATCCTTTACATGTGCAGCATGGAAAATGGTTCTGTGAAGGAGTTTGAACTCGGCCCCTTTCCCCAAGCCAGGTAACATCTGCTCTGAACACCAGCTCTGCGGTGGTCTACAGGGCATGCCATCTCACGTGAGCAAATGGAGCTCTGTTGCAAGTAACCTGTAGGGAATATTGCTGCCCTGGAGCCCAAGCGTATAATTTTGAATTTAGGTAGGCAAGGCACTCATCCATGGGAAACAGAGGCTTTTCAAAGGCCTGTGGAGGGTAAGAGTGACAGCCAGTGCTCCGTGCACTGTGAGTATACATGTGTTTTGGAAGTGTACAATTTGTACTTAACAGATAATTGTAAGGCTCAGGTTTGTACAGTTTTAAAGAAGTGAGAAGGAAAACTCTTTTCCAGATGAGTGTGCTAAAACTTGTGATAGTCTCAGACAAAGGCTCAGCAACCAAATGGAACTTTGGACAAGGGCTTTCAATGGATGGGTGAGGAATCAAGTCTTCAGGCTTGGACAACCGTGAACCACGTTCTTGGGTGTTCACCCCTGCTGTCCTTGCCCCATCCCCAAATCAGTCAAGCTTTTCCCTTCCTTCCTCTCTGCTCCACCACCATTTTAGTTTTTGCAGAACAAAGAGAAACTATGGTACATGACTAAGTTATTCAGAGTAATGTATGCAATAACCTGAATTTGCATCAGATATTTCAAGTACAAGAGTTAATGTTTGGGGTCTTTTTCTGTAAGAACAGAAACAGAATCCACGTGGGTGTCGTGTGATCTCCTTGTTCTCTAATTATGACCACCTGTCCTGAACTTTTACTCCCAGTGCTGTGTCCTTCTTAAATGTTTGCTGCGTCTACTAAATTTCCCAGTTTATCTCAGAGTTTCTTTCCCTAAACTAGAGAAGAAATTACATCATCCCCATTCTCTGCCACACTGTGTGCAGCCACTTCTTCCCAGTTAAAGAATCTGCCTCCCTCTTCCATTTTCTGTAGCCATTAAGTATTTATTACACAAATACCTGTAGCAAAGGACCAGTTTTGTGGGGAAGTGAGATGTTGTGCACAAACCGCTCATCATTTGTCAATGTCTCCCTTCATTACAGCAACTAGATCTTCATTCCTGCCCTAAAACCATTGTCTTCATCATCCACTCATTCCTCTCTGCCAAAGTGACCCGGCTGGGGTTGCTGGCATAGGGACATGGAGCAAAATCTGGAGAAAACCAAGACTTCATGTGATCTATGCACTATGCTTCATCGCAAAAGCAAGATTTTAAGATGCCACTGCAGACCGGAGCAAGGACTACTGGTGTTAAGAATCAACAGCCAAAGGAAACCATTAGACCTCCAGGACAAGTGATGGAAACGAATGGATGGGCAACCATCTAGGCTCTCCAGCCCGAGGAAGATACAGTCCATGCAATAATGTTTCCCTATAAACTTGCCCATCAGCACATGGCGTCCCTAAAGAACATCACAGCTTGGAAAACTGGATTGCTGAAGATGTACCAACCCAGTTCTGCCGTCACATTAGTGCCTTGAAGATATATATGTAATATATATATTAAAAAATCTGTTTGTATCAAGGTTTTATATTTATATAGCTCAATTTATGAACCTGAAAGCAATGCTGGCTTGGTGGCATTTTGCTCTGCATTTTTCACATCATTTTAGAAAGAGACTCCAATCCTGTGCACAATCTACCTGGGAGTAAGGCCCACTGAATAGAATGGGATACGCTTCTGAGTAAACGTGCACCGCATAGATCTGAAACATGATAAAAAATTAAGCCAGATCTCCCAATTTTCCATAGTTCCTAAGATCTGGAGAACTCAGCCATTTTTCTTACATTCAACAATAGGCTGAAAGTGAGTAGAATGGATTTGCTGAATTATTCAAATTTTTGGAAATAGTTACAGAAGCCATATTTAATTTGAAAAGATAAGGCTAATGATTTTTTTTCTTTTGCTTCTTTAATTTTCTTTTTCAATATATGTTATAACTGGCAGTGCTCTTGACCAGGGGAAACAATTAGTTTTATGAGTTAAAAGTCATGCATGAAATTACCTTTATTTTGTTTTCCTTTTGGTGAAAATAAATATAGATTACTAAATATGACTAAAGCAAAGCTTGTTATCCAATTTGTCTTGAAAACAACATTTGGAGTTGCTCACTAAGCCTGAAATTTACCAGTTTTTCCCACAACAACAGCTTTCTCATTGCAATTTAATTTTAATTGAAACAGTTTTCTGGCTGCCTACTATATACATGACTATTATCAAACTAATCAGAGTCCTGTTGTTCAGTAATGTTAACTTTGATAAAACTGCCCACTTAACTTTTATTTGGAACTGTTCTAATTTGCTCTAATTACGTTATTAGTCAAACACCATTTATAGGGGGAAGTGAATTGGTATACATTCTAAGCAGATTCTTCCTATCATTTGGAACACTAGCTGTGCTCAGGCAATGTCAGCACTTAGGGCTCTGCTCTCCCACTCGATGTAAGTGTAATCAGGTGAGCTAGAACACTCAGAATGGGGATCCTATAAGTGAAGCTCCTGCTCTGTGAAGCTGCATTATACCATGTCCAGTCAATGGTCTGCCTAGCTCAGTCTTTTCTTCTGAGTGGCAGGGACCCATCAGGGTCTTGGGGCCACACCAGCAGAGATTTTACAAACCTGTGATGAATATTCCCTTCTTTTGAATAAAAAGAAATGCCGCTGAAGAATTAGTAGGCATCTGATCAGGAGGGCAGTGAGGAGATTATTTTCCCAGCCACACCACTTCCCTGCTCTAAGTGGGGCAATGAGCTGCATATTCCTCATTGGCACATATCTACAAGTACACTAATTTTCTGTAACAGTAAATGGCAGCTGAGTGTGGGGTGGGGAGGGAGATGTTTAGATGAGAAGCACTATGCAGGAAAGGTTTAAAACACAAACAATGCAGCCGTTGTACCAATGGCTTCTTTTACAATTAAAAGGAGACTGGTAGATGGATCTCTGCCTAGTCTAATTTGGCCCTCAGACCATATCTTTCCCAGCTTTTCTACCAGACAGTTAAACTACATATTACTTTAAAGCCAAACATATCAGTTACAGCTTTGCTATTCAAAAGTGAGCACAGGAAACTGGATCCAGATTGGAGGGAAGGAGGCACAAAAACTTTGTCCCCTTCTGCTGATCTTCAGGGGGAAACACACACAAAAGGCCTACTAACCCCATGCTAGATTCCTGATCTAGATTATGTCCTGTGTGCTGAACTTTCTGGTAAAAGCAGTGGCATTGGCTGATGATGGGGATTGACTCTGGAGCCTTCTGTATGCAAGACATGTGCTCTGTACCGAGGCAATTTGCATGCACAGATTCCCAGCTCTGAAACTTTCTGCATCACATCAATATTCACCAGAACCCAAAATAACACTGCAACAAATGGATTATTGTGGCTAAATAAACATGGTTCAGAGAGATACTATCATAGTGCAGCTATGACAACAGCTTAACTGACAGGATAAAAGTGATGGCTTGTGGAGATTTGCACCATATGCCTGCGTGTATGTGTGTGTTTGTGTCTCTGTGTGTAACAATAGGTGGGCGAGCCAAAAAATATATATTTTGGAAAAGACATTTGGATCAGAGTATTCCCACTGCTAGGAAAGTCTAGATATCAGTGAAGTGTGCAGCATTAAGAGCAGACATACTGAGATCCTTCAAAATCACAGTCATTGCCTTAATCTCTCTCTTGGTTGGCATAAGTGATCCAGCTGTTTCCACATCTGATCCTGGATATCTGTCACAAGGAAACTTTAGAATCCTGCCAGAGAAAACACGGCAACTTCCAGTGCTGACTCCTTCCTGGAATGGCAGTGCTTTATTTGATACTCAGTGCAGTGGACCATGAGCTGGCTAGTGAGACCTCTTAATTCTGACCTGTACTTCTTGCTTCTCAAGTGTTTGGAGAAGTCATGGTCTCACCCACCCAACAGCAAGAAGCCCTCTCCAAATAATCCTAGAGGCGAGAAAAGGAGTTAGGCTTAGTGCCTACTTACCATTGAGGAAATGGCATTAAGGCAAAACTGGAGTAGTGGAAGTTGGTCAGTGCCCTGTTTAGAACTTTGTTAGCCATAATTAGCAGAAATAGAATAAATTAGACCAATGTTTCTGTTCTTTTATATAGGTTAAAGAATTCACCTTGGGTGTAAAAATTTGAGTTTCCTCCTCCTCCTCCTCCTACTACTACATACACTCAGGACAATTCTCTGTTCATCTCATTCAGAGCTCAACCTAACATGATTTGATGGTAATACATTCAACGCAAAATTACACCAGAATAAAACAAACTACCACCCAACAGACACACACACACACACAGAGATGAAATTGCATTGCTGTTTGTTTTTGATTTACAGAAACATCAGCACCTGGAAGTCATGCTACCTTCTCTGCATTTAAGCTGAATTCAGTGGAAGATCTCCAGTTCTTACACTGTACAAACTCCCTTCAAAATCTCAGTGTACTTTGAAATTAAGACATACAAGGTAGGGCAATGCACATGTATGTCCAAAAGCAAGTTGATGCGAAACTGAACAATTCCTGGACTCACTGAGCACTGCAAGATGTGGCTTGAATGTGGGAACTGCTTGATTTTTTTTTAGATACAGTAGAACTATCTGTAAATTTATGAAATAAATAAATGTTATTTCCTCGTCCATATACTGAATCCTTTCTGTCACCCTGGTTCAGCTCAGCTCTGATTAGAGTCTCCACAAAAGAGAACACAGTCAAACAAACCATTTGTTTGATCCTACCTTAGGGCTATAATCTTACTCAGAGCTAAGTACACTTAACCCTACTGATTTCAGCAGGTTTAATCATACTTAATACTTTGTGATCATCTATAAATAGAAAAGTAATGCCATCAAGTTGTGAGCAGCATTACATGAGCAGCCTTCGTTTATCTGTATGCATCCTCTCAATCAGTGTTTGGTGGTTTGGGGAGAGAGTCATGACTCATTACCAAGAAAAGAGTTCCCATGATCAAGGAAGAAATGTTCTTTTCATGTATGCAAACCGTTAGCTCAGATACCATCTCATCTGAAGTACCAGGTAATCTAAATATATAAGGAGCAGCACTCCTCAGCACTGGTAATAAATTGATTCTGCAGCAAAGGGTTCTTTTTTTTCCCTTGACTGATGCCACTGCTGGTTTGTAGTTGTCATGGTAATGCTGTTTCTGTGTTCTGAAAAACTATTAGATGGCATGCGAGCCTTCCAGAAAACAATATAATAGTAATAACTGCAACCACCACAGTGAAGAACATTTGTTGGCTTTTCTTCTGCAACAGTGTATTAGCTGTGTAAAAAATTGAACAGGCTGCATATAAAGCAGACTGTTCAGTGCTGGGTGGAATGCACAGGAGTGGCCACCTGCAGCGGCTCCCCATCCTGCCTCAGGCACCCAACCAGGTAAGCAGAGTTCAGAGCAAGGGTTCCTCTGCTCCGTCCAGCATTCTTTTCCCATGGAGGTCAGCCGGCTGCCAACAGGAAACCCACAAGCAGGACATGACACTCCACTCTGCACACAGTTGTTAACATTCCCTAATTGCCTGAAGAGTTCCCTAATGATCTTCCACTGCAGTATGCGGCCCTTTTAATTTACTTTTTAAGGAGATTCTTTAGTTGCTATTCATTTTACTGGGCAGGTTTTTACTGTTCCATAATTTTAACTTTCTGGGTTTTGCTGCTGTTTTTTCTAAGAAATGATGTGTTCTTGCATTTTGTCCTCTCCCTAAATATTAAATTTCTTTCTCATTGTTACTTCTTGTGAACTATCCCAACTAGGAATCGAGTGCTTTAACATTGCTGCTATTTGTAGCATAGACTATACATTCAAAGCAAGAGTTTGGGGTTAGCTGTGCTGAAGCTAAGGAGGTCTCGGTCGCATCACCATCTGGATGGGGGACTCGAGCCTGGAAACCCTGTGCACATTGCCTTGACCTGCCCATCATGAGATAAGTAGAATTCAAATGTAATAATAATGTAGAAGTAATAATAATAATAATGAATGAGCCCAATCTAGGCTGGCAGAACTGGGCTTTTCTGCCCCCGTGGCAGCTCCTGTTGCCCCCTGGAAATGCTACACAGAGGGCTGGAAGAGCCTGTTGAAGGAGTTTGTCGGTGGTGGGGGGCAAAAGCAAATCTACAAAAACCAGGCCCAGATACCTTCTGTGGGCAGAGCCCTTCTGCTCATGCAAGGAAGATCCTGGTTCCAACCCCATTGTCTAGAGCAATTCCCAATTCTTGCATCCTCAGATGACCAACTGTTGGGGTGAAGGAAGCTGCCAGTCAAAATATCTGGAGCTCCACGGTGAGGAAAGGCTACAGAGGAAGGGCAGCTGATTGGATGTTGTGCAGCAATTGGAAAATCACAGAGATTCCACTTGCAGATCAGCACTGGCCATCAAAATAAAGTGCATTTTCAGCTGTCTACCAGAATGACTCTCCAAATAAAATAAAATAAAACTGGTGGGGAGAGGACAGATGATGCTTCAGAAGGAACAGTGGGCTTGCTTGGTACATGCATATAATCCGTCACAGCAGCAACCTTCTTTTGTGATTAACATTTTATCACACGTAAATGCCATATTTCCGGAAGGGATTTGCAACAACAAAAAGTTGCTAACTGTTAAATCAATACAACAAGTAGTTTGGAAACAGATGGTGTATTTTCCTCTGATCAAAAGCAAGTCTGCCTTTGGAAAAATATTATCGTAATTGAACTTCTTGTTACTACTCTGCTGCCATGATCTTTTTAATAAGAGATGGAATTGCTTCCAATACCTAGCAAATTTCATATTACTTTGAAGGGTGTCAGTTCCACTGCAGAGAAATGCAGGGAAGGAGGCCGTCTAGAACAAGTTGTTCACTATTCATGAAGCTCAGCAGAAGTGAAGAATACATAGCAGCAACCTTCCTTGCCAGATAAGAAGATGCATGTGCAGCAAATACAAATTGCCCTTTGGATGCCCACTTGACCCAGTGAACTTGATGGATCTTTCTGTTGGTACAGGAGTGGAGGAGATGCCAATCTTCATCTGAAGCCACTAGTTACACATAATCTTTGCTGTGTGCAACTGGACTGTGGCCATGGGGATAAGTCTTAGGGGTAGTCTTTCAACCTTTCAGAATGGAGAAAAAACTACACCAAACCAGATAGCCACCAAATAACCAGCGGTTACAGAAAGGAGGCATTGTCAAGGGAAAGGGGTACAGTCATCTGGCAAATCCCAGAAATCTGGATGGGGACCCCAAGAGGGCCCATTTTGGGCTCCCAGCCTGAGCTTGGCCACCCCTGTAAGTGTGAGAAAATACGGGTGCAACCCAGAACAATACAACTTCTGCTTGTAATGTGTTGATTTTGGCCATGTTCTGGCAGCAACAAAATGTGATAGAATAAAAAACATTGGAACCAATGTAAAAGCAGCCTTTACTACTTATTGGATATTGTGGTTGTAATTTTAAGATCCATTTGTGTTACAATTCAGATACATTTTCTTACTCCTTTGTTCAATGTGGTGTTGAGTCAGACTGTGATGCTACAGAAGAAAGCAAGCAAACATTCAGTCCTGCCCACAAACAACTTCTCCTGCAGAAGAAACTATTTTAGGACTGGGCATTGGAAATGCAGATAGTGTCTCATAACAAAATATAGTGACATCTTCTTCTGGAAATGATCCATGGGAAAGATCAAGCTTACTGCAATCTTCAGGAGAATTTTTTTCCTTAATCACTTGTATTACACATCCAAAATTTACCCTTATGTAACAACACCAAAACCAAAATGGTCCAAATGGCATCCACACTGTGTAGTCTCATTTTTGAAGTGTTAGATATATTACTGTAAAAACAGGGTCTGATCTTGAGCATTGCCTCTCATATTGAACATTTAGAACATATTCTGCTGGTGTATTGCCCATTCTTCAGCTATTCTGAACCATTGGAAGTGGTGATGCTTCTGGAAGATCTCAGCCTTCATGCTCAGACAATCAGATCCAGGGTGGCTCAGGACTTCACGGCTGCCATGACAACCATGGAACATGTTGATGACAAAACTCATGTAGAAGGACACACACTTGATCTGGTTTTCTTGACTGGGCAGGAGGATGGTAATCTTGTTACTGAACTCAGTTGGTCAACAGTGAGAGCCAGTGTGGCGTAGTGGTTAAGAGCATGCGACTGGGGCTCAGACGATCTGGGTTCGAGTCCCCGCTCAGTCATGGAGCCAACTGGGTGACTTTGGGCCAGTCACAGACTCTCAGCCCAACCTACCTCACAGGGTTGTTGTTGTGGGGAAAAGATGGAGGAGGAGGAATGATGTAAGCTGCCTTGAGCCCTTTGTAGGAAAAAGGCAGGCTATAAATTGAAAAATAAATAAAAAATAAAAAAACAGCTTAGGCGAGCCCAGGTGGAGCCCAGATCCCAAGTCAAAAGGAACCTCAGATGAGACTTAGAGTCAAACAGCTTTATTCTAGTACACTATAGAATAAAGGGAGACAAAAGGGGATACTGAGCCCAAAGCAGTGTCTTGAAAGTTGCACTCCAGTACATGCGTTTTATTTTATAAGCAGTTAGGTCACCTAATACACATCTAATGCATCAATACATCAAAGTATGCACACTCCCACTGCTGTAAGCTTGAAAGAGTCCTTTCTTCTGTCAAGAACCAGACATTCCCCATGTCCATTTCTTATCTGCTCAAGATTCACACAAGTTCTTACTCCCTGCACATTTGCAACTTTCATGGCGGCTATAACCAGTTTCCACTGTCCCTTTGATGACTGTATTCAAGGTCAGGCTAGCTTGTTAGCTGTGGGTTACATGAAGTTCATTTTGTTCTTATCCCCCCTCCCTTCTGAGACAGAAAATTCAATATGGCTGTGGGTTTTTTTCCTATCTGGCCTCCCTCTGGCCAACTATTTTTGGGGCCTTCCTCTGGCCAACTACTTTTGGGGTGTTTTGGTGTGCTGCAATTGGCAACAATCTAAAGGTGGGGTAATAACATCTATCCCCTTCTCCTTGTTGGATCACTTCCTATTGAGATTGAGATTCTCAGCAGCTTATCTCCTCCGCTAGCTGCTCCATGGTGGTGAATGTATTTTGGAGGCTGAGTTCAGACCTGCAGATAGCTCCTGTAAAGCTCAAAATAGGTGTTCCACTGATGTAGGAGTTCCCAATCTTCCCTAGTGGGGGTCTATTAAGGTTGTTTAAGTGATTTTCATGAATTCCAGAGGCCTATGGTAGGTTTTCCTGCTAGTATGGCTGCTTTGCTGAAGCCCAGCATTCTGTGGAATGCTGAAATAACTAAGGCCATTGATATGAGCACTCCTTTGTGTACTGAGCTGAGAACAATGGAAGGAGGAGGAAATGGTCAAAATGTTGGTGGAGGAAGATTCTTACCAAAACTGGCCAAACACAGATCAGAACTCAATACTGAGTGTACTCTGCAGTAGTGAGGGTGGCAAAGCAGGACTGGAGTTTTTCCAAGTGCTCATGGCGTTTTTGAACCCAGTCCAGGGAGAGAGAGAGTGGAAACCTCAGTAGCATGCTGAGATGACCCTGCACAACACTTAGAAGTTGGGTACCACATTAGTTCCATTAAGGTCCAGGGCACTATCCTATTAGTTTTATTGGATAAGTTTCGTTGTTGAGGCC